ATGGCTTTATATAAGAGCAGATCTACTTGGTTTCCTCAGAAAGGTCTTAAATAAGTACCAGTGGTATGTAAAAATGCTAAGAGCAACTGCCTAAGCTCCTGGCCCCTCAAATCTTTTTCTAAACCAGCTGGCTCTTTTTTACTTTCCCCCAAGTTATTGGAGTGGATCCAAAAGCAGATTCTGAGATCCTCCAGCTTTTCCTTATTTACCCTGCCAGTAATTACATGTCACAGGTTGTCTTCCCTACTGGAGTCTGAGGCTGAGCAATTAGTCTCCCATTGTCTTTACAGGAAATGACATCCATGTGGCTTCTGGGGAAAGCAACTGTTGACCACTCTGGCTAAAATAATTTGGAAAGTGTTCAGCACTTCCTCTGGTTGATCATTTAAACTGGCTGATTTAGAAAGCTCTTGGAAATGTGCAAAGTGAACAAAGGTTGTCAGAACCAGAAATACTCCTGGGTCACTTCCCCAAACAAAACAAGTCTCTAAACTGTTGCTGTGGCCTCTCGATGCACCAACTTGTCTGGACTCTTCAGCATGTGGCTGAGCCCAGTGCCTCTGTGTTCTGTTCCTTGTATAATGCTTTATTGGGCACTGAGTGGTCAAGATGCTTTCCAGCTACTGGTCATTGAAAACCCAACTCAGGGAGGCCTGAACAATATGAAATTTACTGGATTCCATTGGTTCCACAGACTTCAGGGTTGACCTAATGCAGTCACCCCAACTTTGCTTCTCTGGGGTTTTTTGTCTTTACCTTCCTCTCTGGGCCAGCTTTATCATTAGACTGAGCAAGGTAGCTACAGAAGCCCTAGGCATCACATCCCATGGAACATTCAGAAAGGAGGAATTTATCTCAGAATGAGAAGAAGCTCCCAGGAAACCGTTCTTCACATCTTGTTGGCCTGCATTGGGTTGCATGCCTAGTCTTGAACCAGTCATTGGCAAGAGGAATGCGTTCCCCTTAGATCAGTGCATCTGAAACCTTGTGGACACACAGATCACCTGGGGATCTTGTAACATAGATTCTGACGCAGTAGGTTTGGGATGGGACCTCAGAGTTGACATTTCTCAGAAGTTCCCAGGTGATGCCGATGTTGCTGGTTGGCACACTGCAAAGCCTTAGACCCATCAAGTCCCCACCCTCCAGCTGGGAGTGTTGTCGCCTGCCCCTGACGCACCGTGGCTGAAGGAATATGGGGGATCTGTTAGGAAGAAAGGAGAAGGGATGACCCATGCAGATGAGAACCATGTTAGAGATACTTGTTCCCAGTGGTAATGAGATCTTACCTTCAATCAGGAGCCGCACATAGTCTATGATATGTATTAGAAACAAAAAGTACATGCAGTGCAGTGTGTTGTGTGGGAATGCCTGTAAATATCTTACTATTTATTTACGAGGATGTATATGTCATAATTCTTGAAACAAAAGATTAAACAGTCATGCTCCTGTTCGTTATCATTAAGCTGTTTTTATTTAATACCATATACCTAGTGTGTCTCAAGAAGAACAAATTCAAGTGAGATGGATATAAGCGTCCTTAAGTTTAAAAAGAGTATGCCAAGGCCAGCCTTTGTTTTGAATAGGTATCTCATCTTTTGTAGTTCTCTGGGGGGAGAGAGTATACCCTCACTGTCCTAAGTGTCACTTGATACAATGGCGAGCATGGAAGATGCTGCCAGTGGTGCATTTATTCCCAAGCAAATGGTCACAGTGCCCTTATGAGTGGAGGAAATCATTATACTTTTGTCATTTGAAAAGGAAGAGCTATTCTCTTGTTGTTAAGTTTATTTATTTAAGTTTATTAAGTTCAAGACTACACCCAATGTGGGGCTCAAACACACAACCCCAAGGTCAAGAGTCACATGCTTTTCTGACTGTAGTGAGCTGCAGCTGTTTAGGGACAAAGCTTGGTAAGACCAAAGGACTGGTCTCTCCTGAGGCAGATTCATCACAGACCCAGGGGGCTCAGAGTGAAGTACGCAGCCAGGTATGGAGTAGACCTTCCTGAAGCGGTCTCTGTTGAGTTGCTATCTTCGGCCTCATATACAAGGACAACGTCACTTAGGGAAGGTGACATTTCACCCCTCCATCTACTGGGACCACGGGCTCATATCTGTGAGACCAGTGAGAAGCCAGAGCAACCTTAACTGGCCTTGTCTTTATAGGTCACCAAGGTATCCATACTTAGGAAATCACTGGATATTTCTTGTCTTTGCAAAAGCCCTGAAAGATTGAGAGAATCCCATCTACTCTACACTAGCTGGGGAAAGCTCTAGACTTGGTGCTCCGCAGAGGAAGGGATTGTGCTTGTGTCACACAGGAGCCCCCTGTGTGACAGGATGGTGTGATGTCCAGCCTGTTCTTGGGAGATCTGAGCATCCTCTCTAAAGGGAAGGAAAAGAAGAGAACATTTTGTTGCCTCATTTCAGTAGTTTATACTTTGAATATGGAGTGTTTAGGTGTCCTGTCTACATATTTAGGAGCTCACAAGCTGCCAGAAAGAGGTGACATAATAGTCCTATCAGCTGATTCCGTGTGGGGCCGGAAGCAAGCCCTTGAGCTCACTCATTCAAACAGTGCTGGCTGTGTGCCTTCCCTCCTGTGTGTGCTATGAGGCAGGGCATTATTTGCCATGCGAGGAATAAAAAAAGAGGGCCTTCCTTTACAGCTTAAAAAGTAGGATACAGAAGTGTATTTCAAGTATCTATATCAAATAAAACATAATTTTGAAAACAGAAAAACAGGGGTAAGATAACAGCACATTGGGAAAATCAAGTTAGAGCTCACGAAGAGGAGAAGTAGGTAGGCCAGGCCTAAGAGCAGGGGCTCATGACCTGGGGGTCCATGGATGGAGTTCAGGGGTCTGTGAAATTGGATGGGGGAAAAAAATTATTTTTACTAACCATTAATCAAAATCTAACATTTCCGGGGCACCTGGGTGGCTAGTTAAGCGTCCAACTTTGGCTCAGGTCGTGATCTCATAGTTCGTGGATTCGAGCCCCACGTTGGGCTCTGTGCTGACGGCTCAGAGCCTGGAGCCTGCCTCAGATTCTGTGTCTCCCTCTCTCTCTTCCCTTCCCCTGCTCACACTCTGTCTCTCTCTCCCTCTCAAAAATAAATAAACATTAAAAAAAAAGAAAGAAATCTAACATTTCCTTCTATTATGAAAGTAGCACTAGCTATTTGTCACCAATAGAAATTATGGGTGTTTTCATATTACTTTGTAGTTACAGATATTCTAAAATACCATTTATGCCCAATAGTACTTCAGATTACAGTAATTATTAGACTTTTGCTGGACCTTATTTAAATATAAAAAAAATCTGTTTTGTTATGTATTTTGATAACTGCATATCAGTATACCTCTTTTGAATCCTGTTCATTGCATGTATTAATTTCAAGCATTTAAAAACATTATTCTGAGGGGCACTGGGTGGCTCAGTTAAGCGTCAGACTCTTGCTTTTAGCTCAGCTCATGATCTGATGGTTTGTGGGTTCAAGCCCCATGTCTGGCTCCACACTAACAGCATGGAGCCTGCTTGGGATTCTCTCTCCCTCTCTCCTCTCTCTCTCTCTCCCTCCCTCCCTCCCTCCCCCTCTCTCCTCTTCTCCCACTCACATGCGCACTCTCTCTCAAAAATAAACTTTAAAAATAAAAATAAATAAAAACGTTATTCTGAGAAACATGTCTCTAGGCTGCAGTGGCACAAAAAGAATAAAGATCCCCTGCCTCAGAAAATGGCTAGGCCCCTTACCAGCATTTGTGGGGCAGAGACACTCACGGAAGAAACCAGCAGACCCACAGGCTCAGGCAGGACTGGCGACTGCATCTTCCGATGGAAGATGTGGAGACAAAGCGGAGGGAAGTTGGAGTCCCAGGCTAATGTAATTTCACAGAGAAATTTGAAGGTCATGGGAAGCGGTGGAAGGTGTTTCCACAAGGCTTTAAGTTCGGTTTAGGAAGGATGCCTTGCAGAGCCGTGAGAGTGGGATTTGAAGGGAAGAAACTGGGGGCCAGGAATTGAGTTTCTGCAAGGTGTGATGCCAACCAGTGTGATGATAAGAGAGAGGGAAGGCGGTGAGTCCCGCACGCCCGAAGGATGAGAAGGGCAGGCCAGGACCGCGGTGTCCAGTGGAGGTGAGGAAGGCCGTGTTTGCTTTCAGGCCTGGGTGATTAGGAGAAAGATCATAGCTCCTCGAATGCTCTGAGTGTTTACTGCATGCCGGCTGCTGTTTTAAGCCTTTCTGTGACATTTATGTCACTAAATTTATATCACTTAATCTCCATAACCACCCTGGGGGGTCAATACAATAATCCCTATTTTACAGATAAGAAAATGAAGTCTAGAAAAGAAAGGTGAGGGTCTCTCAGCCAGCAGGGGAGAAGAGAGTATATTATTAAAAGAAACAGGGAAGAGGAATTGGTTTGAGGGAGAAATTTTTTATGACTTCAATTTTAGGTCTTTTTGCATAGTTCTTTAGTCTTCAATTATTTTATTTTTTAAATTTTTTTTATTTTTATTTATTTATTTATTTATTTTGAGAGAGAGAGCATGAGTGGGGGAGGGGCAGGGAAGGAAGGAGACGCAGAATCCAAAGCAGGCTCCAGGCTCTGAGCTGTCAGCACAGAGCCTGACGCCGGGCTCAAACCCACAAACCATGAGGATCATGACCTGAGCCGAAGTCAGACGCCTAACCGACTGAGCCACCCAGGCGCCCCTGTCTTCAATTATTTTAAGGGCTAAAAATTCAAACAAAGTATGAGCACAGTTTCTGGTTTATTTCACTGTCCCGATTTTAATTTATTTGTTATTAGTGGGTGCTGAGTTAATTTGTAAATTGGTTTCATCTTCCTGTGAAAAACAAAAAGGAATCTGGCAGTAAGAGTTTGGTACATCGATGAGTGCCCCAAACAAGGAAGATGTTGTGGTTTCCAGAAGGGTAAATTACTTCTGTTTAGCGATGCATTTTTCCTTTTGTTGTGGTTTGTCTTTCAGGACTGGTCCAGCAGCTGTATTAGAAGACATGTGGTGTGTATGAAGTTTGTGATAGTCGGGGGAAATTTTGGTAAGTGTTGCTGCATTTACTTCTAATATCTTTTGTTGTAAAATAGTGCCCAAAAGGGAAGCCAATGCCTTGTTTTGTGCATCTTTTACATCACTAAATTTAGACAAAATGGGATTTTATCATTAGATGTAACATTCAGTTGGTACTTTCTAACAGTATGACTTTTTTCTTGTTGTTACTGATATGTTATTAAGTAACATTAGAAAGATGGAGTTTTCTAAGATTTAATAAGAAATCTAGATTTAGGAAAGTTTCTGAATACAGGATAAAGAATACCCTTGACAGTTGAGCTTGTAGTCTAGGTAACCTAGACTATATGAGTATAGCCTAACAGGGACTATAAGAGTAATAAACTGCAGACTAATAGAATAACAACAGCAACAAAGATTCTCCGCTGCAGAGAGATCCTTATGGCCTATCTGTTGAAACAAGAAATAGTCAGTTAGCTGCTTGGGAAATGGAAAGTTGAAGGGAAGCAAGAACTCAGCACGTCTGGGAGCCAGTCCCAGCATGACAGTGGCCGGAGAGGCCAAGAACATTAAATTCAGCAACCACCCAGAAGACCTTGCTAGCAGTAGTAAAAAGAACAGTCTTCGAGATCAGGAGACCCGGGTTGAAGTTTAAGTTCTACACTAACTGGTTGTTACATACCCTCCCTGAGCCTCAGTTTCCTCATCTGTAAAATGAGGCTTGTAATGTTACCTCCGTCATACGGTTGTCATGAGAATAAAATGAGCTAGGTAGTGCTGGGGCATAGTAGGTGTTCAATAAAGCAGTTGTTCTTGATAACAGGACAGCCTCGTTTGGAAACTAGACATTTGCCACTGAACTCAGACCACCAAAAGGTGTACATATCTCCCAGCAAGAGGGCCACTGGGGATGGGTTGGTCACACCACATTTGCTGTCACAAGAGATGTCACGGCTGGTCACCACAGTCCGTCCTCCAGAGTCTACTCTGTAACACCTTGTGGGAACCCCAAGACATTTGCTGTCTTCTCCACCTCTGCCTACCCATTCTTAGATGTGCTTGACTAATTTAACTTACCTTCCTGTTACCTTTGCAGCCAAGTGCAGTTAGAGTTTGGAGTTCGTTTGAGTTCCATTCAGTTTTGGAGTTAACGTTACTATGAACCAAAATAATGAGAAGGAAAAGAAGGGTCGGGAGTAGATGGTCCTCGTGGTTTGGGTCTTGGGTACCATATTTAGGCATTCATTTCCAAAGTTTTATTTTTATTTATTTATTTACTTTTTTGTCTGTGCTTATTATGTACTCCTCCCGGAGATCCAGTTATCAGACTAAATTTTTGAGCTTTAACTACAAGAATTTGGCATTGGGTTGGGACTTTTCCTGTGGTTGGAGGGAATCAACTGTGTCACTGCAGATGGGCTGGTGTTTAAGATTAGGTGTCCCTAAGTGGACCCCTTTGTTTCATAGAATTGGAGAGATGGACACAGCTTCAGGGGTTGTCCAGCCCATTCTCCCTCGAGCCAAAATCAAATCTCTTCTACAGAACCCGTGACAAAGGGCAGTCCAAATTCTCTCAGGGGTAGGGAGCTTGCTACGTGAAGAGTAGCTTGCGCCAATTAAAAAAAAAAGTTAAGGGAAACAGGAAAATTTTAGAGGGTAATGAAATTGTTCTGGATCTTGATCTGTGGCAATATTTTTTGTTTGTTTGTTTAATTTTTTGAGAGAGAGGGCAAGCAGGGGAGGGGCAGAGAGAGAAGGACAGAGGATCTGAAGCAGGCTCTGTGCTGACAGCAGCGATCCCAATATGGCGCTTAAACTCACAAACCGCGAGATCGTGACCTGAGCGGACATCAGATGCTCAGCCGACTGAGCCACCCAGGTGCCCCCATCTGTGCTGATATTGATACAACTGTATATTTCCTGCAAATTCATAGAACTCTACAATAAAAGGGTGAATTTTGCTCTACGTTAATTAAACCGTAGTTTTACAATGGGAAAAAAAAATGAGCAAATACCTGGGTGTTTAGCTCAAATTGTTAAAAAGAAAGAAGGGAAGCAGGGAGGGAAGGAAAGCATTCTAGTCTTTACACTGAATTATGACATATGCTCCATGAAGCAGGACCTTGGTCTTTTTCCTTCCTCTGGTCTCAGTGCCCAGACAGTGCCTGGCACAATGGAAGGCCTGTGATAAATATTATTGAGCCGCCTATGCTCTTAGTCACTTTCTAAGTAGAGACCTGTCTTTCCACTCTGTCACACACCAGCCCTTCCGGTATTTGGAGACACTCTCCATCATTCATCTTCCCCTCTCTGGGCTGAACTTACCATGTTCCATTCTTGTACTGTTTGTCTCCTGATATTATTTCCCTCTCCCTCCCACCCTGCCTCTCCTTGAGGAAGCATCTGCTTTACCACACCCCTCCTGGATACGTGGCCCAGCGCTGGGAACCCTGCCCCTGAGGTGGTTGGTCCACCAGAGGTACCGTGGGCCATTGGTACCATGGGCCATTGCATCTATAGACGATATGAGGAGACACCAACCCCAGTGTTCTTCTTTTGCAGTCAGTACTGAGTGCCTGGTAATGGAACGTGAAGGATTTGTTAACAGTAGTCTTCGAAGAATGGAACTGTTAAAAGTAGGGAGAAGAGCCATCCAAGAGATAGGGTGACGGCAAATCCGTCTTCTTACGCGTCTTGACTGAAATGAGGGCAAGCCTCACCACCCTTTGTTTAAGACAGCAGTAGTGTTCTTTATAAATCTTTCAAGGTAGCACTGTATCACATGTCCGGACTCTTCATTATGAGTCATAGGAAGTTTGAAATTCTTAAAATTAAAACTTGTGAGTGCCTTGAAAAATCTAGACTCCCCACCACCCTCCCCCGCCCACCCAGCCATACCTGGGGGAGATATGTAAATATATAAACAGAGAGCAGTGGTTCTCAAGCCAGATTAATTTTGTTCTCCCAAAGGACACTAGTCAATGTCTGAAGACATTTTTGGTTGTCACAGCAGGGGGTGGGGAGTTGTGTGCTATGGGCATCCCATGGGTGGAGGCCATGGATTCTGCTCACTACTAACTATCCTGTAGTGCACAGGACAGCAACCCCCTCATGAGGAATGATCGGGCCCAAGGTGTCAAAACTGCTGAGACTGAGAAACCTGATATAGAAGGAATTTTTAAAATTTAATACCCGAAGTACTTATTATTTTGAAGGTATAAAATCTTTAATATTTTGGCATTTAGTTAGAGGTCAATATAGAACCAGAAAACGTAGAGAGGTTTGGTCAGAGAATCATAGGGCTGAAAGGTCTCGTAAGAGACTCTCTCTTACATTGCCCCTGACTCCAAGCAAGACGTGACTTCAGCAAGACAGATGGGCATCTGAAGGCTTATACTGATGACTGTAAACTGAAAATGAGACTCACACAACATGATCCTCACATTCACACAAAAGAGGTTGTCTCATATTTTAATTTCGGCCCCAGCTTCTTCACAAGTGCCTGTCTCTAGATAGCCTTTGAGATGTAATGGTATTTCAATCTGGGCTAGTCCTTCCTTTTAAATCAAGGGCAGCGATTCTGGTGTGATGAAAATGTGCTTAGGGAGGAGAGAGATCTCATTACAGATGATTGAGATTGGGTATTTTGGTACACAGGGCTGTTTATTTGCATCAATTTCCTAGTGACACCACAGTCTGGTTTAAGTGTAAGTTATTGAGAGCTTTTGTAGCCCAAGATGGCTACACTTGCTAAAGCAGGGAGATTAAAGCAACGTATGTCAAGTTGTGATATAGGATGATCCAGTTGAAAAGACTTTAATTATAGGGCTTATTTTGGGAGGGTAACTGTGCTTTTTGTGAGGTATATTTTGGGATCTACTAACCCAGCTTCAAGGCTAGTAATATCTTCCCAGAAAGGGTGTGGCTTGTGCTGGTGGACATAAATATTTTCTCACCAAAACCTTCAGTATAATATTCTTTCGACTTTACTACTCTGCATTTTTCCTTTTCTGATAATCTTTTCCCTTTGCAAAAAATGCATTCTGGAACGTTGGAGAAGACAAGGGTAAAAGATCTCATTTCAGATGGCCAAGCCCAGAGATTTTGCATTTTCATCAGTCTGCTGTTTTTTAAGATGAATAGAATTTGGAGGAATGTACCAAAGCTGAATAGTAAGCAGTGTCAGGTGAGACTAAAACCATGTCAGTGCTAAATATTTTAATGTAAGAAACTATGGAAAAGCCACACATGCATAGCTTCTTATTTGTCAACACTGCCTCTCCAACCCCCGGGTAATTTTTGGAGGCCACTTCAGTGCCCTTTACCACAGCTAATGAGCTGGAGTCGGTACCCACTTGCACTTTGCTCTTCAAGACTTGTGCCTTGGGGCACCTGGGTGGCTCAGTCAGTTGAGCGCCCGACTCTTGATTTGGGCTTAAGTCAGGATCCCAGGGCCACCCCATGTCAGGCTCTGTGCTGACCGTGGAGCTTGCTTGAGTTCTCTCTCTTTCTCCCTCTGCCCCTCTCCCCCACTCTTCTCTCACTCTCTCTCTTTCTTAAAAAAAAAAAAAAAAAAAGTATATTAAAAAAAAGGACTTGTGCCTTTTCCCAACTCTGCCTTTGGTGACCTCCTTCACTTCCCCATTAATACCTGAGGCCTTTGGCCTTCCTTAAAGGAAGGGTCGGAACTTTCTGCCCAGTGTTTCCTAGTCCTCATTTGAAAGTGAATGATAAAGGAGAGATTAGATCAACAAAATAAAATCAGCTTTTCCTTTACACAATGTGTATGGTAGGTGGATGGGGAGGAGGAACAGAGGTAGAGGAAGAACAGTTTTTTAACCCCCCAAAATAACCACATCTGAGGGCAGAGAAGCACTTTTACCTAAATTCTAAGTCATGAGGGCAATAAAATGAGAGCCAGAATGCTCCATGGGGGAGAGTTGAAGGCAAAGCCTCCTAACTGTAGAAATCTCTGGAGAGGTGTCCCTGTTTTCCCAGAGGCAGTCTGTGGCCTGCATCTGAATCACCCAG